TGAGAAATTCCATTTATATGCTCAAACCTAATTCCGGATAATTCGACGTGGACGGTAAGATAATTTGAGACATAATTTTCGTGACGGAGGTATGTGGCTAATTTAACTTGAAGACTTGAGAATTTATATTGGTGAAAATGGGAGGAATTATCCGATGTAAATTAAGTTTGACATGTTCGAAATATTATTTCGATTGTTCGAGGAGATGTTATGTTATTTATTCGGGGATAGTATGTGATATAATCATGGAGACTATTTGATATATTCGAGGAGCTTATTGAATTTATTTGTGGAACATTATTTGCCTTATACATGGAGCTCATTGGATTATTTGTGGAACATTATCTGGCTTATAAGTGGAGCTTATGTGATTTACTCGAGAAGATATTATTTGATTTGATCGTGGAATTATTTGATTTGCTCGAAAGATTATTGTGTTTATTTGAGGATTATTATTTGATTTGCTCGAGATAACACTTGATTTATTCATGGAGTGTGATATATTCATGTATATACGTGATTTATTCGTGGACATTATTTGATTCTGTCGAGGAGACACTATTTAGTTTATTCGTTGAGGATTATTTGATTTATTGGAGGATATATTTAATTTGCTCGAGGAGATATTACTTGATTGATTTGTGGAGATATTATGTGATCTATGCATGGATGTTATCTGATTTAGTCAAAGAGATGTTATGCGATTTACGTGTAGAAATATTTGATTCGTTCGCGAAAATATATGATTTGCTTGAGGAGATATTGTTTTGCTCGAGGTTGCATTACTTGAATTATTCGAGGAGATATTATTTGAACTGAGGAGGTGCAATTTTATTTATTTGTGGATGATTATTTGACTTATTTGAGGAGAATATTTGATTTATGCATGGAGAATTATTTGATTTGCTCAAGCGATTATTGGATTTATTTGTGGATGCATTTGATTTATTCGAGGAAGTGCTATTTGATTTATTTGTGGATGCATTTGATTTATTCGAGGAAATATTATTCGACTCATTCGTGTCCATATTTGAATTTCTATTGAGGAAACGACAAAATAACTCGAGCCTTGACAAGCTATGGCGGACGAGCTGTTGAGTGTCGAGGACAAAATGAACGAACATGGATCCATCTAAGGAGGGTGGCAAGCAGGGACGAGCCTAGATGATGTCGATCACCGGGGACGATTTCAAAAAGAATGGGTAGCAATCATTCTCTTTTGGAAAGGTAAGACAATTTGGAGCGGTATTCTCGACCTTCAGGTACAAAGCTATTCTCGACTCTTGGTCGGTGGTCGTGTTTAATCGACAGGGGTTTATGGTCATTCTTTGTGTACTCTGGACAAACTGTTGAGGAGATTGTGATGCATATCGACATGGTTGAGATTATTATTTGGATGATTAACAAAATGATTGGGTGTTATTATATCTTGTCATATTCGATGTTTTCCTTTTCGACCTCAGTGGCAGGTCGAAGAATTCGAGCACACGTTACCATGCACAACCAGGAAAGGGAGGTAGAAAAATACATTCAACATTTTTTTATCTCGTTCGACGCAATTATACATTTGATGATACTAACGGAGATGGTCAATTGCTATCATATCTTGTAGTGCTCGATGTGTTTCTGTTTGACATCAGTGGCAGGTCGAAGAAAAAATCCACCATGACTAAGGCCTCTGGGCTGGGTGGTCGCTTGTTTAGAACACCCCATGGGGTGGGCAGGTTGGTCGCCTGTTTAGAACATTCCTCGGGGTGGGCAAGTGCCTGAAGAAAAAAAATCCACCATGACTAAGGCCTCCGGGCTGGGTGGTCGATCCTAGTGTTGGGTCGTGAAGACACGGATAGTTCGAGCAGACCTCGGAGGCAGGTCGATGATTTCTTCATGGTTATATTTGGTTTGTTATCATTGTACATTTGTTCCTAACCCAGTGGCAGGTTG